GGAGGGCGTGCCTGCCTGTGGAGGAAGCGGGGTGGAGGGGATTAGTCATTCCGTAGGGTTTTGCCCAGCGCGGCCAGATGGCGGCCGGCTTTCCTGCCTCTGCGGTGGAGGGGACCCGCCGATCCTGCTTTTGTCTGGAGGCGGGCGGTGCTGGTGCGGAGGCCGGCGCGAGCCCGGGCACAGGGAAGCCAGGGTCATGCGGTGTGTGCTGGGGAAGACGGGGTGGAGGGGAGTTGTGCATGCCACGGGCACACGCGGCTGGCACCACAGTCCCCAGCTGAGATCTGGAACAGACAAGGCCTGGTGGCCAGCGGGCTCTGCTGTGCTCCAACCAGGGGCTGGAGCATGGGTGCCTTTCGCCATTTCCTAAACAGCCCCCCCGGGGGGTTGCATCCGGTTCTGGGGCGGTGCGGCCTGCAGGCGGGGCGTGTAATGCAGGCATCTTGCGTTTCTGTTCTGCTGTGGCTCTTGAGCGGCCGCAGGGGAGTTAGTTTCTGCTCCTGCATCAAACACATACATGTAAATCCTCACTTGGGGATACACCAGGCCAGAGCACGGAGAGACCTGTGTTCCTGGTTCTGCCCCCCTCCCACTCGCCCAGTGGGGGCGGGTCCCGGGCCACGTCACTGCCTGGGAACTACCTCCTCCCCACCCGTGCTTGCCTACCTGGAGTCACCTTGAGCTCTTGAAGGGACTGACCACAGGCTCGGGGACAGGGCAGGGCCACCGAAGTTTCCCCCAGGCGGAGCCCTGGACCTTCCCGGGAATCCTCTAACCCCTGTCCCTGCCCCGCAGAAGATGGGTGAACTGCCCTTAGATATCAACATCCAGGAGCCTCGCTGGGACCAAAGCACGTTCCTGGGCCGAGCCCGGCACTTTTTCACTGTCACGGATCCCCGGAATCTGCTGCTGTCTGGGGCCCAGCTGGAAGCCTCTCGGACCATCGTGCAGAACTACAGGTGACCTCCCCCATCCGACCCTGCACCCCAGGCTCTCACCCCTGATGTCCAGAGAGTAGGTCTTACACCTGCCTCCCAAGCGCGAGGCTGACTCTGTCCTCCTCCTCAACCCCCGGCTCTCTGGCCCCCTCTGCTGGCACCACGAGCAATGGCACAGAGCTGTGACCCAGAGAATTTTAGGGTGCAGTATTTGGGGTGAGGATCTGGCACTGAAGTTTACAGGTGGGGGCTGCCCTGAGTTTCACAAACCCTCTACAAGGACCAAGCCCACTGCAAGGCTACCCTCTGCAAGGACAGAGGGACTCATAGTGACATCCCAAGAAGAGGGCATCCCTTATCCTTTGGGAGGAAAAACTCCTGCAGTCCTCAGCCATTTTTGGTTTGTTTTTGTTATGAGTCGGGGTCTCACTGTATCACCCGGGCTGGAGTGCAGCAGCACAACCGTGCTCACCACGGCCTCGCCCTCCTGGACTCAGGCAATCCTCCCGCCTCAGCCTCCCAAGTGACTGGGACTACAGACACACACCACAACACCCAGCTAATTTTCTGATTCTTTTCGGAGAGACGAGGTCTTGCTGTGCGGCCCAGGCTGGTCTCCAACTCCTGGCCTCAAGCAATCCTTCTGCCTCGGCCTCCCGGAGTGCTGGGATCACAGGCATGAGCCACCAAGCCTGGCCCTCCAGCCATGTTTGACCCACCGGAAACCGCCATCACCCAACATCTGGGCAGAAAGAGAAGGGCACCCCTCTTTGTGCGACTGACTAGACGGGAAACGAAACAGCTGCAGGCCTTCCCAGAGACAAGAAGCGCCTTTATTCTGAGACCGGGGGTCGAAGTTTCCGCTCCTCTGCCAGGGCTCCCCTGGGCAGCAGGCGGGGTCCGGGGGGCACATCTGCCCCCTGGAGTAGCCCGTCCGCTTCTTGCCACCCTCTGCAGGGCCGGCGTGGTGACCCCAGGGCTCACCGAAGACCAGCTCTGGCGGGCCAAGTATGTGTACGACTCAGCCTTCCACCCGGACACGGGGGAGAAGGTGGTCCTGATTGGCCGCATGTCGGCCCAGGTGCCCATGAACATGACCATCACAGGCTGCATGCTCACCTTCTACAGGCAGGTCTCCGCCCACCCCTCCCGGGCACTGCAGACTAGAGCGGGGCTTGGTGATGGGTGTCCCATCTGGGCTGATTGGGACTCAAGAGAGTGGGGTGGGGGGAGCTTGTGTTAGAATCCCCCCACGCCTCAGAACTCAGCCTCGGGTCCTCGCCCCCGACAGCGGGTGTGCTTGGGGGGTGACCGGAGCAGGTTCTGGGGTCACTGGCCGGGCCCTTTCTTAGGGATTGGGCTGGCCTCTGGAGTTCCGCTTCAGGGTCCAGGCGAGGACCCCCGGCAAGGGACTGAAGCAAGCATCCTTGCTCCCCTAGGAGGACCCCCACCGTGGTGTTCTGGCAGTGGGTGAACCAGTCCTTCAATGCCATCGTTAACTACTCCAACCGCAGTGGTGACGCGCCCATCACCGTGAGGTGAGTGGAACCCTTCTCCCCAGCCGTCACCGTCTTCCTTCGTGATTCCCTGAGGCCTGTGCAGCCAGCTGGCGCCCCTCAGCTGGCCCCCTCCCTACATCCCCCAACCGAGGGCCTCAGATCCTCTTCTGTCCGCACGGGGGACCCACTCTCTTCCAAAGGTGGGACCAGGGCTTCCCCGAATTCTGCCCTGGCCTGGGGAGGCTTCCTCTGCAAGGCCACCCCCACACTGCTTGTCCCAAGGACTTGATGTGTCCCTGAGGGAAGGGGTCACCCGTGGGACTCTTCTCCTCAGCCTGCGACTGGCTCTTCCACCCCCAGGCAGCTGGGGACAGCCTACGTGAGTGCCACCACTGGCGCTGTGGCCACGGCCCTGGGACTCAAGTCCCTCACCAAGGTAAAGATGCCCCTCCTCTTCAGCCCCCAGTCCTGACCCGGGGAGTCCCTGAGCCCCCATGGTCCTCGGGGGCCCTGAACACCAGCTTTCCCCCCAGCACTGCCTGCCTTCCCCCCCCCATGCCTGTCTGCTTTCCCCCAGCACCTGCCTGCCTTGGTGGGCCGATTCGTGCCCTTTGCAGCCGTGGCAGCGGCCAACTGTATCAACATCCCCCTGATGAGGCAGAGGTGAGTGTCCCTGGACCCCGGCACGTGGGTGCCCAGCGTCCAGCCCCGAAGACCAGTCTGGGGCGGGACAGGCCTCTCCCTGCCTGGACACGGGCTCCTGGCCCCTCTCGGGATGACCCGCAGCCTCCGGGGGGGGGGGCCGGGCTTGGCGTCGAGGGCGTTGGGGGGGGTGGCGGGGGCATCCGGGCCGGCGATCTGACCCCAACCCCCGTCCCAGGGAGCTGCAGGTGGGCATCCCGGTGACGGACGAGGCGGGGCAGAGGCTCGGCCACTCGGTGACTGCAGCCAAGCAGGGCATCTTCCAGGTGGTGGTCTCCAGGATCTGCATGGCGATTCCTGCCATGGGTGAGGCGGGAGGTGGGGTGGGCCTGGTAGGCTCCGGGGCCAGGCGGGCGCAGTTCCTGGGGGCTGCTGAGGCTCGAGGGCCAGGGAGAGTGGGGAGATGGACGGAGCTTGAAGCGGACCCCCCAGGGCTCCCGACGTGGCCTCCACTGACCCCTGCCTCCGCCCTCTCCCTCAGCCATCCCCCCGCTGATCATGGACAGGCTGGAGAAGAGAGACTTCCTGAAGGTAGGCAGCGTCCTCTCCCACCGGAGGCGGTGGGGCTGGGAGAAGCGTCCCTGAGCCCTCCCGTTGGCCCGGGCCTGAGACTCGCCCAGGCTCCTGACTCCTCTGCAGCCCTCTGCCTCCTTTCATTCAGCAAGAGTGAACGGGACCGGGTGAAGGGACGCCGGAGGACAGGCGGGGAAGACAAGGGTAGGCAGGAAACGGTTTCTGTCCTGAGGACACTGGCGTCACTCCAGAGGCCTGGGGCACACACAGGAGGGAGCTGTCCCCGCCATGTTTGATATGTGCATTCTGCCACCCCGACACCCCCCTGCCCAGGGACACCACTCTGGCTCACCCAGCGAATCATTTATTCACAACTACGGACTCGTGCCAGCTGTGCCCAGGCATGCTTTAGGGCTGAGGAGACAGCACTGAACTAGATGGCCCTAGTCCCGGTCCTCATGACGTTCGCAGTCCAGTGCAGAGTCTGGCAAGCCAGGAGGCCGCCAGGGTGTCTAGCAGCCTCGGGGTGTGTGTGTGCACATCCAAGTGTTCCATTCACCAAAGCCACACACAGGGTAGTCTACTTTTCAGTAAGTCAGGCTGTAAGTCATGTCCGTGCGTGGCGCGACCTATCACCTGGGGGCCACAAATGGAGACAGAAACACATCCCTTCACTTTTTCCCAAAGGGATCTTGATAGCATCTGTCTCTGCCAGGTAGATCCAGTGAGTTGACGTGGGTGATCGGGCGATTTTCAGTAAGTCGGCTTAGAACATTTCAGGCACGGATCTGACTCCCAGCCTTAGTCCAGACTCACAGCGAATGCATGCCTGTAACAGAGCCCAGAAGAAGCTTGCCATCCTGGTTCTCTCTCGAAGCGTTAACTTCGTGGAAATAAAACAATCATAAGACATTCCACCCGTTAGCATTCAATAAGAAAAAGCACAGTAGAACGCGCTTTATAGAAACTAGGGCTCAGGGTGTTCGGGACCAGGAGGGGAAAGCTGTCAGGTGCTCGGAGAATGGGTCTCTGAAGACCCCAGGGTGAGAAGGAGACAGCGGGCAGAGAGTGCAGAGGAGAGTGTTTGGCAAAGAGAACCACCCGCCAGTGCAAAGGCCCTGAGACAGGAATGGGCTTGCACATTTGCGGGGCAGAATGGTGGTCGCTGTGGCTGCAGCAAACCGCCAAGGGTGTCCCGGGCAGGAGATGTGTCTGGAAGGGGCGGATTCATGCCTCTGGGTAGCAGGGAGGAGTGGAGGTCCAGTGGAGAAAGCAGTTCCTGGAGAAAGTGGGAAGGGAGGAGAGTGGGGAGCGCCACGGGAACACGTTCCAGGGCTGAGAGTGGGTGGCGGGATGCCGGGGCGGGTGGCCGGCGGGCAAGCCTGGCTGGAGAGGAGGCTGCTGTCTGGAGGCCCCGCCCTGCCGGGGGCTTGGGAGGAAGGAACGGGGTGGGCAAAGCAGGTGGGGGCCACAGAGGCAGGGGCGCCCGCCATCACTGTCTCCCTCTCTCCTCACAGCGCCGCCCCTGGCTGGGGGCGCCCCTGCAGGTGGGCCTGGTGGGCTTCTGGTGAGTGTGCCGGCTTAGCGGGCGTGTGCGGGAGGCCTTCGGGGGTGCGGGGTGCGGACGGGACGCCTGCACGATGCTCACAGACATCATTCATTCATACCCCCAGCGGGGGTGTGTCCCGGCCCGTGAGTGAGGGGTGGTCCCTGTCCCTGGGGTCAAGGGTCTCGTCGAGGGGGCGCCAGGCTCCGACTGCAAGAGGAACCACAGCCCATGCCCTTCGGCGCCTGCCAAAGCGTCACCCCTTTGACCTCCCGTCCACCCATGCTGGCCGTGGGCTTGGGGTCCCTGTCTAGGGGCTCTCTCTGCCAGCGCTGGGTGTCAGGGTCGCTTCGTGCCCCTGACTCCTCTCCACCCCTGGCGGATGCCTCCAGGCAGGGGTGGGTGCGGGAGGGCACACCATCAGCGAAGCCTCAGCCCTTCGACCTCTCTCCGCAGCCTGGTGTTTGCCACGCCCCTGTGCTGTGCCCTGTTCCCGCAGAGGAGGTGAGTGCCCAGGCTGGCAGGGCCCCCATGGGCTCCAGGGCGTAGTGGGCCCTCTGCTGATCCGGGCGGGGTGGGAGCCAGCTAGGGCAGTCGTTGGCGGGCAGTCGGAGGTGGACGGGCCCCGGGGACGGGGACAGTCCCTGGCACGTGCCGTCTCATTGCAGCTCCCTACCCGTGAGCAGGCTGGAGCCGGTGCTGAGTGCTCAGATCCGTGAGCACGACGCCAGCCTCCAGGTGGTCTACTACAACAAGGGCCTCTGAGCAAGACCAGCCTCGTCCTCCCTCGCCTCTGTGGGCTGCAGCTCTGGTGAGGCCTGTCATCACTGCCACCTGCCACCCGCCTGGTACTGGGCAGGGGCCTGGTGGGCAGACGGCCATGAAGGCAGCTGACTGTCAGGCGGGGGAGGCCCCCAACCCCGGCCTCTCCCTCTTCTCTCTGCTGTCAAAGAGCCGGGTTCCACAGCCCCTTGCTCCTTGCCTCGGCGTTGAGGCAGACACACCCGTGCGTGCGTGTGCACCTGTGTGTGCGCCCGAGTGCGTAACCCCACCCTGAAGGCTCAGGGCCATGGGCTGTCCTGGGGTGCTCTGATATCCAACTTCCCCTCTCAGCCTCCTGTTCCCCGCCAGCCGGCCAGACCCCAGGTGGGACGTCCTTTCCTAAACCGCACCACCAGCTACGTGACTGCCGACAGCACCTGTCCCCTTCTGGACATGGGGGAGCCCCAGGGCCTCAGGGCAGAGACTTGGAGACACCAGCACGCCAGTGGCGGAGGGCTCTGGGTTCCTGATGCCTGGTGTCCGCCCCGGGCTCGGGACTGGGCAGCCGAGAAGACATGTCGGGATTAGGGGGCAGAGGGCTTGGTGTCCCTCGGAGCTGCCCCACCTGGGCTCGCTCCAGCCCACCACCTCTTCTCTGCCAGACAGGAGGAACGGGTCCTGCTGCCCGTGGGCCAGGCCCAGCCTTGGGTGTCCTGGGTCTGTTCTGACACCAGGACCTCAGATACAAAAGCTACAATCCCAGCCCTGCCCCCAGTCAGAAAAGCCTCAGAGGCAGAGGCAGCCCTCGCCGAGAGCGCCCACCACGGGCTGAGGTGGGGGCGTGGTCAGCTGGGGAGGGTGCTCGCACTTCATGTACACCCGGTGGCTGTGACCGGGACACCCCAAAGGTGACGAGGCCCCGGGCTGCACAGTCTTAAAACAGGGAATCTGGCGTCCACTGACCCTCAGGTGTTCAGCAAAGTCTCCGCCTTGGTGCCCCTTTCCCGAGGCTTGGTCCTGCCCGCCCCGCCCCAGCCCAGGAAAAGGAAGGGCCCCCACCAGCGGCTGGCCCCGTGGAGGCTGGACTCGCGGATGGAGAGGGTGGTGGCAAAGCCGCAGGGTGCCATCAGATGCTCTCACGCTTGTGAGCCCCACCGGGCGTGGGGGCGGGCAGGTGGGGCCTGCAGGCTCCTCCCAGGGAAACTCCATGCTCCTCCCAGGCACCCACCCCATGAAAACAGCTATAAAGCTATCGCTGCTCAATAAACCGCAGACCTGTCTACTTTCTGTGCGTCCCTGTCCTGAGCGCCAGAAAGCGTCTGGCCTGCAGACCCCTGATCCCACCGAGTCCGGTCCTGGCCGCTTCCCTTTCCTTGTGTAGGGAGCGCCATCTCCCAGCAGAGGGCGCGCAGAGATCAGAAAATCAGTCCTCCCTGGGCGCCCCGCCAGTGTGCCCAGGTGGAGAGGTGGCGGCCAGGTCACCTTCCGTTCCCCTGGCAGAGGGAGTCCTGCCCCCATTTCCCTCCTTGTTACGGGGGCTTGTCACAGTTCAGGCATCTGGAGAGAAGGTCAGAGGGCTGAGGACAGCCAGCGCCACCAGACAAACCGCAGGGCACCAGGGCACCCTCCACGTACATCACCCGCCACGGGGACAGCCTGGCAGCGACCCCTCGCCAGCGAACACCTCTTCCCACACCCCAGTGCCCTCCACGCCTTCCCACCAACTTTTCTGGGGAAAGTGGAGCCAAAAGTCCGTACCTGGAACAACTGGCAAGGGCTACGATGAAGCGGTTTTGAGCCACTGCTCTCTCCCCCAGGTTTAGTCAATGCAAGAGAATAAACACGAGCGCATCTATGGTAAAGTCGGTGCCCCACTCCCTGCAGGGAAATGCCCGCCTCCCTTCGGTCGGCCCGCCATGCTGCTTCCTCACCTGCCAGCCACCAGCCACGCTTGAGGTCCTTTGGACAGTCCACGCCTTGGTCAGCTCCTGGGCCAGCTTGTTCACAGACCAGCAAAACTGACAAGACTCCAGGTGTACACAACCTCATGACAGCCACTGCGGAAGGTCCAAACTTGAGGGTTTTATGGCTGGAGTATAGGCAGAGCTCCCCATTTTTGAGTAAATACAGGATAACATTTAGATAGCCAGACTCAACCCCATCCCGTCCTGTCCATCAGATCAGTGCCTCCCGCTACACCCACCAGGTGCTGGGCCAGCTCTCAGCTCTCTCCGCAGTGGCAGCTCTGGCCTCCGGTAATCCCCTTGAAAATAGGCCTTGCAGATCAAGCGTGGTGGCTCACGCCTATAATCCCAGCACTTTGGGAGGCCAAGGTGAGAGGACTGCCTGAGCTCACGGCTTCTAGACCAGCCTGGGCAACTTGGGGAAACCTCATCTCTACAACAAATCAAAAAATGAGCTGGGCGTGGTGGCAGGGGCCTGCGGTTCCAGCTGCTTGAAAGGCTGAGGTGGAAGGATCGCCTGAGCCCAGCAGGTCGAGGCTTCGGTAGCCGTGAGCGTGCCGCTGCCTGCACTCCAGCCTGGGTGACAGAGTGAGACTCCGACTCAAAGAAGAGAAAAGAGGCCTTGCCCTCTTCTTGGAAAATCTGTGTAAAATACATCTGTCTGGGGAGTGAGGTGCCGGCATCCCTGCGAAATGAAACCCATAAGGACGTTTCGTAGCAGCCATCTGTGCTCACAACACCAAGACGTGTCAGGGACTAGCCAGGGCAGCCGTGGCGGGGCGGCTTTCCATCATCTGCCCTTCCGCGTGTCTCCCCAGTTTCTCAAGCCCATCGAGAGCCAGCGGCAGGGCACTCCGAGGCCCTCCCGGGACGACTAACTCCTAGCCAGGCACACCTTCCAAGCCGCCTCCAGCCTTGCCATTCTCCTCGGGTGACGTTCTCTGCCCCACCGGGTGGGCCTCCCCGCTCCTTCCGGAGCTCAGACTCCAGAAGCTGCTCTCCCGGCCGCCCCACCTGCTCCAGAGGCCGCCTCCTCCCTCTGTGGAGCCTGGCTCGCCCACAGCCCGCCCCCGGCCACCGTCCCAGACAGACTCGGGGGCCAGGTGAGCATACCCTGCTCTCCTCCCGGATCCACCGGCCAACG